CGGGCCCTCCCCCGGACGGGCGGGCCGCGCGGGGGGCGCCTCGCCGACAAGCGGCCGCCGGGCGAGCCCCCGAGCGGGCCGCGCCCCCGGGAGCGACGGGGCAAACGCGCCGCGCACTGCGGGCGCAGCCCCGACCCGCCCCGAGCGGGCCCCGCCCCCCCAAGGGCTTGGATCCCAGGGCTGCCGTAGCCCCAGACCCCGTGGCCCATACGCCAGGGCGCAAGCCCCAACACTCCAGAGTCAACAGGATGAGGAGCAGGAGGAGGAGGAGGAGGAAAAGGAGGAGGAGGAAGAGGAAGAGAAGGAGGAGAAGGAGAGGGGGCAACTTTTTGATGTTGGAAGGATCACGCGCACTCCCAGTAAATGGACAAGGTCGAAGTCCCCACGCGCCGCGCAGGTGACGTGCGTCACACGCGCGCGCTCGGTGACCCGTGTTCGCTTTAGGCTTTTCGCAAGCAGGATGTCTTGTCTATCTTGGAACGGTGTTAAAGAAATGGATGTTAACTTCCATGCCAAATGGGTCACAACTAAGGGTTCACATTGGTTCCAGGCCAACATGGCGACTTCCTTGCTTTGGACATTACAAAACTCGCCACGCGCGCGCGGCCGGTGACCCACCCACCGCGCGGTCACCCGAAATCCTATCGGCCACTGCTAAGAGTTGACGTGCGTTCCCAATCTAGCATGGCGACTTTTTCCATTGTGGCCAACACAAATGAAACTCCTCAGGCGCGCGTGGGGACTTCTGACACCAGAAACAATGGCAACGTCAACATCAAGTCCCTCACCGCTGAAGGTTGACTTTGGTTCCAGGCCACCATAACGACTTTCCTACTGTGGACGTCACAGAACTCGCCACGCGCGCGCACGCGCAACGGGTGTCCCACCGACCGCGCGGGTCACCCGAAATCCTGTCGGCCACCGCTAAGGATCACTTTAGTTTCAAAAGCAGCATGGCGATTTTCATACCGTGACCATTACAGAACTCGCCACGCGCGCGCACGCGCGGCGGGAGACCCGCCAACCGCGCGGGTCACCCGAAATCCTATCAGTCATCGCTGAGGGGCCACTTGGGCTCCCAAGCCAGCATGGCGATTTTTCCGACCGCGGACATTGCATAACCTTGCACGCGCACTTGTGTAGGGGATTTGTTATGGACCATGTGGCATCGTGCACCCAAACCCATGCCCACTTCAAAACCAATCCCATCACCGCTGAAGGTCCACTGTAGCTTCCAGACCAACATGGATACTTTCCCATTGCGGGCAATATAGAACTCGCTACGCGCTGACGCACGCGCAGCGTGCGACCCGCCCATCGCGCGGGTCACCCGAAATCCGGTCGGCCACCGCTAATGGTTCACTTTAGTTTCCATGCCAACATGGCGATTATTCGATTGTGAACGCTACAGAATTCCGCGCGCGGGGAGCTCTACATTGTCCATCGTAAGAACGTACGCCCAAACCAATGTTAACTCGGAGATCCAATCAGTAAGCGTTCAACCCTTGACAAAAGCCATAGGCCTTGACAGGCCGCGGTGCTGCTTGAGGCTTGCCACGAGCTGTCAAGGGTTACATATTTCGGCTTGACAAGGGCTATCGAGGCATGCCAAGGGCTTGCCATGCGCTGTCCTTAAAAAAATTCTACACAATCCGCCGGCTCCCTTGTGGGGCCACCAGGCTGCAGGGCGAAGGTTCGCAGTTTCCTGTACCAGTTACAACTTCCAGTTTCCAGCGTTACAATTTTGTTTCTTGCTGCTTACTGTTCCTTGTTGATGGACCGCGCATTGGGGGGAGGCCCGAAACGGGCATTTCTACCACGCCCTGAGCGTGTGTTCTGAATTGTTGGGGTGAATAAAAATTAACATCCCTCACGCAAATCGGCGGGGTCAGGGTCCAAAAACACATGGGATGTGCCACATGTTTTTAATCCGGTGGCAACCCTCACGCAGATCGGCGGGGTCTGGGTCCAAAAACACATGGGATGTGCCACATTTCTGAAATTTGTTGGCACCCCTCACGCAGATCGGCAAGGTCAAGGGTCCAAAAACACAAGGGATTTCCCACCTGTCTGAAATCCGGTGGCACCCCTCACGCAGATCGGCGGGGTCAGGGTGCAAAAACACAAAGGATGCGCCACACTTCTGGAATTCGGCGGCACCCCTCACGCAGATCGGCAAGGTCAGGGTCCAAAAACACAAGAGATTTGCCACATTGCTAAAATTCGGCGGCACCCATCACGCAGATCGGCAAGGTCAGGGTCCAAAAACACAAGAGATTTTCCACATTTCTGAAATTCGGCGGCACCCATCACGCAGATCGGCGGGGTCAGGGTCCAAAAACACAAGAGATTTGCCACATTTCTGAAATCTGGCGGCACCCCCCACGCAGATCCGTAGGGTCAGGGTCGAAATACAAACAGGTCCTGACCCCGACACTGCTTCACGGCGGCGCCCAGACCTCATGATTTAGCTTTGGCATCTCCCATTATCCGAGACAGGGAACCAGCGGCATAGGGCGAAGCCCTTCTGGATATATATGTATATATATATATACACATACATATATATATATATATATATATATATATATATGCATACATACATACATACATACATACATACATACATATATACATACACACACACATATGTAGATGTATATATAGTGTACCGTGAAACACAAAACTCCAGACATCGCTGAGAGAAACATACAGAACGAACGTCATGAACAATTCGTGACTCACGAGGTTTTGGGTCTGCTGGATTCGCGGCGGATTTGCTGTCGGCGAGCGGACGTCGACAGAATCAAGGCTCGGCAAATGCGCCCGCGCGCTGGAATGCTAGCAGCCCGTTGCTCGTCGACCCCTCGCTTGCAATTCGACAAGAAGCCAATCGTTTTTTGGGCAAGCCTTCGATTCCATGTCCACGAATCCTCCAAATACGACTGTAATATTTTCCCCGCAGCCGCGGGGAACGGGGGCGGGCGCGCCCGGCGCGAATCCTGGTCAATTGAGGTAACAGTTCTGGCTGCAACAACTTGAACAGACACTAGACACAAAATTCCTTCCAACATACAGTCCACCTCCTCTGCCCCCTCCTGTTCCCCTCCCACCATTTTTTCCTCCATGATCCATCATCCCTTGAAGCAAACTCGATATAATCCATTTCAAACCTCGCCCCCGTTTTGTTTCCTCCTCCTCGTCCTCCATCATCATCCTCTTCCTCCTCCTCTTCCTAAGTATACCAATCCTCCTCCTCCTCCTCGTCCTCGTCGTCATCATCATCAGCAGCAGCAACAGCCTCGTCGTCATCAACAACAACAAACATCACAACACCTACATCATCAACTTACAAATTCTGATGATGTTCCTGCTGTCGCTTCTCTTCCGTCCCCCCTCCGTGCAACCATCTCGTCCTTGCCGCGCCATCATACGTGTCGTTAGGGTTTCGCATGACGTCCCCTAACCACTTCCGATATTGAAGCTTGGCATTCCAACATTTGCACGGATGGAGCGCGGGTCGTTCTCAAAATGGTGATATCGCATTAGCGCCGCGCGCAAACGTCGTGTCATAACATCCGATAGTGATCCGGATGCAGGGCATGTCGTTTCCAATGTGGCGCTCTCACAATGGCGCCGCGCTGTCGTCGCATCAAATCAAAAATTACACTGCGGATCGTTGCCAGAAGTTTGCCATCGCCTTGGCGCCGCTCTCGCAGTGGCGCTGTGCAGACCCATACTGGCAGCAGGGCAACAGCTACAGTGTGAATATTTCTCGAATGGTGCTCTCGCCTTCGCGCCGCGCGCACTCGTCCAAAAGCTTCCGGCCGATATAGAGACGGAGGGCGCTTCCCTTTCAAAATCAGGCTCTCACCCGACAACTCCTCTAAACTTGTCACCCCACCTGAAAGCATGTACAACAATCGCGTGCAACCTTTACCGGGACGGAGGGGTGCTCCTGTCAACATGGGGCTGTCGCTTGAGACCCTGCTGATTCAATTGCCCAAGGTTCACAAGTGAAAGCATGTCCTTGCCAAAAGGGGGCTGTCGCTTGGCGCTTGCTTGACTGCTGCAACTCCACCGTGCCGCATTCCAGAAAGCTCTGCGGACAAGGGACCGTGTCCTTCAGAAAGGTAGCCTCCGCCTGATTTGCGGGCTCTTGGGGCGCTCGTCGTTCAAAGTGGGCGCTCCGCGTAGTGACACACGCTCTCTGCACGGACGAACGAAGAGAGGACTTCGGCCCAGGTGTAGTGCGGCATCGTTGACACATCAAAAGGTTCATTATGATGCTATCCCTTGTCCTTCTCCGTCTTCTCCTCCTCCTAATCCTTCTCCCCCTCATCACTCCTTTTGCTTTCTCGTCCACCGCCTGGTCCTGCTCATCGTCCTGCTCCTCCTCCTCCTCATCGATCACCTTCTCCTCCTCCGCCTCCTCCTCATCATCCTCATCTTCCCCCCCATCTCCTACTGCTCCTCTTCCTCATCCAGCTCCACGTCGTCCTCCTCCTGTTCCTCTTCTCCTCATCCCCCACCAACACATCTACACCCACCACCGCAACACACATGCATGTACAATACCACCACACGCCCACCAACCTACCCCAAAATACTCTGACTAACCGTCATCTCGTCCGTCTCCTCCTCCTCCTAATACTCATAATCATAATGCCTCTTTTGTCGCCCTGCTTCCATATCCATGACCATTATGTTTATCAGTCGCCTCCTCTTCAACAATGGACACTATCACCCACCCCATCCCAACACTCGTCCTCATTATCCTCAACCCTCCACCTCCTCCCGCTGTCAATCCTCCACGTCCTTGTCCCCGTCCTAACATGTTTCCTCCTCCTCCTACCATGCTTTCTTCCTTTCTTTCTTTCCTCCTACCATGCTTTCTGTTACCTGTTCTGCTCTCGCCTCGATCCTCACTCACTCGTCCTCACTTCTCCTCCGCCTCCGCCTTCATCTACTCGGAGCTATCGTTGCGATGGGCAGCGCTCCTTCCGATCCGCTGCCTTCATGCAGGAGGGGTCAAGCGACCTGGCAGGGCCAGATGCCCAGCGCAGGGAGCTCAGGAAGTGAGGCAACTAATTTGGTCCCATAACTGTCAATGCTGTTGTTGCTGCTACTGAACAGCTGTACCAACAGCATCACATTGGGCCGACGAGCGGGGGGAAATGCGCTGCGCAGAGCCAAGATAGGTACATTGATTCATTGATTGTTACGCTGAAATTACTTCCTCTCCTTCCTTCCCTGCGCACAGCCTGTGTACCTCTGCCCCGCCCCCCGCACGTTCACTCTCACGAGCGGGACGACCTGACTCTGATCAATACAACAAGCACCCAACAGACGGGTCTGGCTAGCAAGAAGCATCCGGAAAGGCATGCGGAGGCGTCCCAATGATGCAGTCGAATCGATCGAAACATATATGTTCTGTTCCGCCCCTCCCCACCTCCCCATGACCCATCTGTACTACTTCCCCCACTCTTTCTCGCCCTCGTCCTGGGCTGTCCTATTGCCCCTATCCTTCCCCCTCTGTCAACCCCTTCTCCCACAACGTGCTCAGGCAGCACTGGTGGGGAGACCCATCTTCGCGCGACGGATACTTTGACTGGATCATGCGATACCTGGCGCGGAGGATTATCAGGGACACACTCGTGGACGGGAGGCGATATAGGGGCAGGATATGCAACGCGGGAGAATTCAGTACAATATTCCTGGGCTGGCTGTTCAGCGGCAGGAGTCAACAACCAGCAAGAATATGGCCACGCTGCCGCGTGCCAATACACCACAGACAAAGCCCATACGGCTAGAGAGAAAGTCCCGCCGTAAAATCGCGATGTGTACTCACTCGTCGGTCACTCGCAAGATGGTACATGAGCATCACCCGACAAAGCTCACGGCACAATTTGAAAGCGTCAGAGCCGCCAAATGACGTTGGAGTCCGTACACACGTATACTTCGGCGGAAAATGAGATCAGATAGACTGGCTTCAGGTTTTGCACCATGCGACCAAAAACTCACAACATACTCGCCCGTGCGCGCCAATGCTGCTTAACCTCAGGAATGCGCACCGACACGGCTGGGAGACCACGGGCATACGAGCAACTCCGCAACGACGAGTGATCAATCAACTACACACGCAATGTCTACACACGCAAAGTCGATACGAACCTGGTTGAAAATACAATATCAGCCAGCGTTGACTCCAAATCGACAGGAGGACAGGAGGAGGACGAGAGGAGGATGGGAGGAGAACGAAAGGGGGACGGGAGCAGGGCGGGATGAGGACGGGAGGAGCAAAATCAAGCAAGCGCAAGCAAGCAAGCGGAAGCAAGCAAGCGCAAGCGAGCAATAACAAGCAAGCAAGAGTCAGCGATCAAGTGCAGGCAAGCAAGGGTAAGCAAGAGCAAACAAGAGCAAGCAAGAGCAAGCAAGGGCAAGCGATCAAGTGCAAGCAAGCAATGGCAAGCAAGGGGTGCCATTGGAAATAAGGGGGGAGGCCATTGGCAAAAGGGGGGAGCCATTGTAAATAACGGGGGGTGCCATTGGAAAAAGGGGGGATCCTAAAGACCAATTACTTATGATGAACTAGGACTCCTATAGGGCAAGCCTATTTGGAGAAATGGTACAACTCGCGGCCCGCCAGCTGTTCTGTTGGCGACGGCTGCGGGGCCGTGGCGGGGGAGGAGGGGGAGTGTCAGCGGGGAGGGTGGGAAGGAAAAGCGTGGAGAGAGGACCAGAGAAGGAGGGGGGAGACGCAAGCCCAATGAACTCCGCCGAATAAACCAAGGACCAACGAATTAAATCAAGAAAGCACGACAACACGACAACCGTTAGCCGCGTGGAGTGTCACCGCTCACTGGGACCCCTGTGCGCGGGTGACTACTCGCAAAGTAGCTACTCGCAAATCGCCTGGATCCGCCGCAGGGGATCTACGATAAATTACATCGAGGCAGACATGTGTTGTTCGGGCGTTTGCGAGTAGGCACTTTGCGAGTCGTGGAGCGCGCCCCGTGAACGTTGGCCTCATGCGCCGGGACACGGAGCCGGAGGTCGTCGGCGACATCGCCGCCTCTGGCAGGCTCCTTGACAAACGCATTCGAGCTGCCGATTGTCTTGGCATATCTTTGGCAACGCACGCCCAGCGCGCACGGCGATCGCCGTCAAGTTTAACCTCCCGACCCTTACCCACCCATTGCGACAAGAACTGCTGGGATGATTCTGTTTCGGGGCTTGTTGGTGGCAATGCCACGATTCGTGGGATAACGGTGGTGATGTCTACCCTCGAAGGCTCGAAACCTCGGCGGCGCACCCTTGGACGCATGACTCGCGCGGCCCTGGAATCCTCGGCTCTCTACGGGAAGCCTGCCGCGGGAACAACCGGCAAGGAATTGCAGGTTCTTGCAAGTGCTGCCGGCAAGTTTCAAGACCATCACCTCGAGGGCAGGTACAGTATTATCTCCCTCTGTTTTGTTTGCTATCTCTCTCTCTTTTCCCTCTTTCTCTGTTTCATCCCTTCTCTCTTTCTCTCGTTTGTTACTTATGTATTTCTTTATATATATGTATCTATATGTACGCAGTCTCGGCCCGAAGGTCCCCGGACCCAAGGCGCAGCCAAAACACAAAGCCCCAAGCAACCCATAGATGGTATGCCGAGCCTGGACCTGTTGCCTGGGCCTGCTGCCCTCACCACGAGAACGGTTCGCGCCGCATCCTGCCACGTGCTCCCGCGCGCGCCGCAGTGGTTCCGGAGAGCCACCAGGGTAGGGCCACCCAAAGCCCAAGCCACCGGGCAAGGGCCACCTGAAGGCAACCCTACAGACATCGGAAGGGCACCAGCTTCAGCCGAGAGGAAGGCTCCGTCGCCGCAAGGTGGCGTCGACCGAGCAATCGCTGCTTACCACGAACCTGCTCGCGAGCACCAATATGACCTTGACAACAGAGGCCCACAGCACCGCTTCCGACCAGCGCAATCTCAGGGGAAACCTCATGGAACTGCGAGAAGAGGATAAACTGCATCAATATGTACCACTCCAATGAACACAATACTGTCGGCCCTGCCAGGTTTTTCGCACGAGGTTGGCCAGCCAAAGCGGCCAAGGATGGACCGAAGAGGCAAGGATGCAAAGGTACCCCAGATGTCGGGAGGGGGGTCTCATTTCGGGGGGGGTCTCTTCCAGGCTATCTTGGAGGGCCTGGGGGGTCTGGGGACGATGCTTTGGAGGGTTCTCCCACGGGGGAGGTCTGAAATGGCTTGTCTTGGAGGGTCCAGACCCCCTCCCTTTTACTACGAAATCTGGAGTACCCTTGGGAAGGCTGCCCATCCTTACTATGCGGGTTGACTGCACGGCCATCAGCCGTGACTCAGCGGGGGCAGCGGCCTCCGCCGACGCCCACCGGGGCAACAGCACCGCTCCTCGCAGCAGCAGTGGAGAACCAGACCAGGACGCCCCGATCGCGCATCCGCTCCAGGAGGGCCGATCACGGGACCACAGACCACACGTACCAACAGCACCCGTCCGACTCCCATGCCCAGGCCCCCGCGTGAACCGCCGATGCCAGCGGGAACACCAGCGACTGCGACGCCGACAGGGGATCCCTGGAGCTCCGCGATGACCCACCTCCTGCCACCTCAGAGGGGGCTGACCCTGGAATCCACCGCTGCAGCGACCGCCCAAACCTTGCGGGCGCGCCCACCAGGGTAGAGCTCAGCGCGAACTCGAGCGAGACCACAGAGACACCAGCGGCGCGGCAGCTCGAGGGGCTCACCAGGACCGAAGCGCTGCCCGACCCCGCTGGCCCGGCCACGGGCCCCGCGGCCTCCTCGGCCCCCCCGACGTGCCCGCCCGCGGGGCAGCCGCCGCCTGCGGGGGGCGGCAGCTCCGCGCACTCCGCGCCGAGATCCGCGCTGTCCGCGACGACATCCGAGCTCTTGGCGCTGGAATCCTGAGCCCGCCCCCCGACCGGGTTGACTCATCCTCTCCGCGGTGGTCTGCGCGGAAGCCTGCGGGATCACCGGGACCACCCACCAGAAGCCACGCGCGACCTTCGAGACCCCTCCAGGCCGAAGCCCCCCCCCCCTGCGGAGCAGGGAGGCCACCGGGCGCCCCCGGCCCCGACGTCGTCGCCCACTCGGGGCCGCCCCCCCCCACCCCCCCCCGGGGGCCAAACGGCCACCGCCGGCGGCTGCCACGAGGGCCAGCAGGCCAAAGCTACAGCCAGACCACCCGCTGCGGTTCGCCTCGACCCTCTTGCCGAATGCCCGAAGACCACCTGCGGTGCCGCTCAGCGTGGCCACCGGACTAATAATCCAGCCAGACTCAGCACTGCCCCCCACGACGCATTCCGCCGCTACCTCCCGCGCGAGTCGGCGCCGACCCCTTGTGACATCAGCCGCGAGGGCCCGCCCAATGCCAACGGGCCCCGCGACGTCCGACGACCGTTCGCCGACTTGCTGACCGCCGACGACTCCCCGCCAACGCCCGACGAGTGGCCGCCGAACCGAACGACGACGCACGACGCAGTCCGCAGCGACCCTCCACGCGAGTGCCCGCCGACCCTCGGGAACACCAGCCAGGGCCACCGGGCCCAAGCGCCGGGCAGTCCACTCGTCGAGGTCTATCGCAACCCCCGCGCTGAGCGTTCGACGACTCTCCACGGCGCTCCGCCGTGGGGCCACCAAGCCAGCGCTCCAATCAGCCCTCGCTTTGTCACCCATGTAAGAAGCCGAACTCGAAACACCGACGCATTTTCCGACCACGCACTGAAACTCGCACAGGAAAGCGGATCCTGGTGTATACGGGATCCTGGCGTATACATTTTTCTTAGTTTCCCTGGGAACGCGGGGAAAAAGTACACGCCACACCAACCCGATGTCGTCCCCGACCCTAAAAAAATCCTGGGATTGAAAAACAGCCCGCCACTGGTAATGTATACACTCCAGTTTCCGACCATGGCCCATGTCCGTTCGACGACCGCCCGACGACCGCCCGCCGACCGCCGACGACCGACCGTCGACGACATCCGCGCTACAATTCATGTGCGAAGGTACTCAAATAACGGCTACCCATCAGGAGCGCAACCCCATCAATGGCTGGCGCGGCATCGTCGTCGGCCGAAAGGGGTAACAAAACCAATGCTGGGTGGCCCAGCTGACGCACGGAAATGTCGCATCCCTGCGCAAATCCAGCTGGAGAGCTGCCCCCCCCAGCAGTGGGAAGCTCTTCGACACCCCGCCCTCGACCGACGGGCCCATGTCCGGCGACCCGCCCACTGGCGCTCCGCGGCGCGGCCACCAGGTCCGCACTCCAGCCGCTGACAGCGTCGACGACCGCCAGCAACCGTCTGCCGACTGCGCGACGACTGCCGACGACCGCCCGCCGACCGCCCGCCCGGACGGCCGCCCGCCGACCGCGGGCGCGACCGCCGACGACCGACGATGGATTCCTCGATCCCGACGTCGACGATCGACGACCGCCGCTCAGACAGAGCAGCGCCCGACGACCGACCCACCGCGCCAAACTCAACGGCAACTCGCGACCCAGCCCGCAGCGACCCTCCGCACGAGCGCCCGCCGCTTCTCAAGGGCTCTGCACGGCAGCCACCACGAGGGCCACCGGGCGCA